AAAAAAATGTGGACTGGGGTATGGTTCAGTGGTAGAGTACATGCTTAGTACATGCAAATCCCTTAGTTCAATCCCCAGCACCAATGATAATAATTCTGGCATTATACAGAAGTTTTCAGAGAAGAGAAAAAGAGGAAAAGTCCTACCAGCTTTCTAAAGCCAGCTCAGGGATATTCCATAAAAACCCTCCCAGGATACTGTCTCGCCAGCATGGTCCTACACACAGGTAACCCTCAAAGCAATATTTCAGCTGATACTTAAGCAGAAAAATGATTAGGACTCCAAAGCTCTAGACAACATTTTCAACTTCCCGCAACGTGCCCCACCAAAGTGTAGGAACTACCTTGAGTTACATTGCAAACACAATTGATCAATAACAGCATCCTGTGTCCATAGAGCAAAAGACACGCTGAATACCGAGAAGGGACCTGCCTCCCACACACAGGCTGCTGCTGACACACGAGGATGAAAGTGGCTTCTTCAGTGTGAAATATTTTCCGGAAAATTCCCACAAAGGCTATCGTATTTGCCCCCACGCACCTTCTTTTTCCTTGTTTTTTACAAGGAGAACCAAAAAGAGCACTGAGAAAATGTCACAGAACTTTATAGAAAAGCAAGCAAAAGCCAACCAGAAAAGCAGTTACAATCAAAGAGACTATGTCACTGCTAACAAAGCAACTATCTGTTCACCACTGGATTATTTGGTGATCGGGAAGGAAATTATGAAAAGTTACACGCTAATCTTAGAGTTTCTTATTCAACCAGAGACCTACTTACTGCTTGCTGTTAGTTATACTTGGGGAAATTCGTTTGAGTAAACAAGTTACCTAATATAATTTTAACATTTAAAACAAAGAGAAATAGGTTTGCAGTTAATATTTGCACATGGACCATCTGATTTTCAGAAGTAAATTATTAAGTAGATATCAGTATTTAAAAATCCCTATAAAACAGTATAAAAAAATCCCTATAGCCCCATCCTGTCCATGCACATAACTACAATAATTCTGGACAGAATACTTTTTGAAATGACATTTCTTTCAGAAATGCAAGATTAAACATTAGAAATTTATTAACACAACTCATCACATTAAACAAATTACAAGAAAAAGCATGTTCATCTTCAGAGAGCCAAAAGAAAAAACACTGAATAAAATTCAATATTCATTTATGACAAAAGAACAAGAATTAGCAAACTAGAAACAGGACCTTCCATAACATATTAAACATCAGGAAAGGCAAGAAACTATCCTGCACATAAGCTGAAATATGAAGAGTACTCCTACCACTATCACTCTGTTCTACATAGTTCTAGAGATCGTAGCTGAGTCTTTCACAGACAGACAGACAGACACAGAGAAGTAAAAGGTGTGAGAATTGGAAAGTACTATGCAGATACTATGATTGCTTAACAAGAAAACCCAAAAGAAACCTACAAATTATTTAATAGCAATATCCCAAAGTAACTGAACTGATATACAGTATGAGCAAGTGGTTAGTAGCTTCTTTAAGGCCAGTACTGGTGGCTCAAACCTGTAATTCCAGCATTTATGGGAGGCTGAGGCAGGAGGAAAACAATGTGAGCCCAACATGGGCAACTTCGTGACTTAGAGAAACCTTGTCTCAAAATTTAAAATTTAAATAAAAAGGACTGAGAATGTAGCTCAATGAAAAAGGCCTGGGCTCAATCCCCAGCACCAAAAAATGAATGAAGGAATGAAGGAATGAAACAGACTATCATTAAATAACAGTCTCAATGGTACTGTATCACCCTCCTTTTCCACACCGCCCCCCCAACCGTGTTCCACTGATTCCCTAGTGCTGGTCTGCAATTATTCACCTTCTTGGGGTCATCACACATTCGCTGTTCCTATGTATAATCCTTGCCCCCGAGCTGATTTCCTTATCACTCAAACTAGGCCTGGTGTGAGGACCACGGGACCGAGGCCCTGGGGATTGAACCCAACCCCTTCACAGTGAGCTATATCCCCAGCCTGTTACTTCTTTTTTTGGAGACGGGGTATTGCTAAGTTTCCAAATTGGCCAAGTGTGCACCACCATGCTGGCTTTCTTTTTCTTGTTTTAAACAACTTTACTGAGATATGACTGAGATTAAAAACTATAAATATTTAATGTATGCAACTTGAGGGATTAAGAGGTAAGCTCCTTTTATTTCTTTTTTTCCTCCCACCCCCTACCCCACCCAACCCCCGCTGATCCTGTGGACTTTAAATGAACCCCTGGGAGGATTTCAAGGATGATGTCCTTATTGCAGTACAACCCATCTCAGCGCCTCGCCAGTCCCTTCTAGGAATTATGGAGATCAGAAATAAAAGCCAATTAACAACTTCCACTTTGTTTCTATGGTGATAACTAATCAACTCCAAAACTTCAGCACAAAATCCCAGTTATCTACCATAGTCTGTCTCTGCCGCCGCCTCCTTGGCCTGCAGTCCCCAGCCACACACACACTACTCACTGTTCATCTCAGACTTTCTACCGGCTTCACTCGCTGGAAATGTGCCAGGTATGAATGAAAAACTACTGGAAGTCTAAAATACAGGCCAGCTTTTTAAGATTTACAAAGGTTAGGATTAACAATTGCAAAGTATCTCAATAATTTTACATTGATTGCACGTTGAAATAATATTTAGCCTATGTTAGGTTAATGTTAAAATATAACCCGTCCATACGTTTTATAACGTGATAATTCCAAAATGTAAAATTGCATTCACGATGGGCGTGTGGCGCAAGCCTGTAATCTCAGCATTGGGGCTGCAGCAGGAAGATGGCCCCTACTTCGAGGCCAGCCTGTACGCGTAGTGAGTTCAAGGCCAGCCTGTCTCAATACATAAATAAACAAATAATAAATAAAGCTGCACTCATAGTTCTCGGTGTACCCTATTGCGCAGCAGTGCTCTGTCGTTTTACCCTCTTTTTCATCCTGGCTCTGGACGCTGGAACTGCAGCATCCATACTTTTACCACGTTAGTGTCTTTACTGCCCAACTAGAAGGTAGCACAGGTGGTAGGAGAACCACACTTGATCTTTTAAAAAATCGCTTTCCCTGCCGAAAGCCCTGGTCACTTGATTGCAAAGGCGATCATGATGTGAACCCCCCCCATCCTCAAGGCCCCTCTTCCGGCAAACCCGCCCCACTTCCCCTCGTTCAGCATTTCTCCCTCCCGCCACACGAGGGCGCCCTAGATCCCCGGCGCTGATGGGACTGTCCGCTCCC